GCTTGTATTAACAGAAAGGCAGCTAGTGTGAGTAAGGTAAGTAAGTGAGGTCTTTTTGAACTTGGAATCGAAGATATTTTTTTTCTTTCCAAATCCTACACAAGATATAGAAAAAAAATAATTCCCAAAACATTTATTTCTAATTTACTTTGTTAACTGCAATCTCTCCCACTCATTGGTGTACTTCGGCAAGGAAGTTGCTCTGCCAAATACAAGTAAAACGTACTGAAAGTACTTAACTGATCTGTTGATGGGTCATGTAAATACACTCTTTAAAGGGGTGCTAATTTTAGAGATAATTACAAGCATTTTATGTGACTCCATTGCTGACAGCATTTCTCAAGTATTAGCAACCCATTTTAGGAATAATACAATTGTGCCAATGAGATGCTTACATTTACTGCAAAAAAAGTGCGAAATTCAGTTTAGGGGAGAAAAAAAAAAAATTAGGCATCACCTACAAGATGCCCTTTTCTCTCTTGGTCATTCTTTCGTACTCTGGGACCATCTCTAGGCAGTACATCAAGCCTGCAGCCTGTCCACCGCTTCACAATAAATATCTAAAATCTGCTTTGCACGTTCTTCTGCAGAAAGGAATTAGGGACGAGCCCCTTGGCTGCTGTAAAAGGAAAGAACTCCATTGGCTTTAATGGAGCTCTGCTGCATTGCACTTCTGGACATCCTCCCTGCATGTTGAAACACCTCTGACGCAGAGAAAAAGGGAGGGGGTGTTTTCCAGTAGCTGGAAAAGAGGGTCCGGGGGGACATCGTTTGGGTACCTGTTCTCTTTGCTGCCCCTGAGCCGTCACTTCAGATTGATCCACATTAGAAAAAACATTGCTTTAATTACATAGGAGTGTGATGTTTTAGTGTATTTTTCAAACCACCATAAATTCTTGTTCCTTACCCAAATACAGTTTATTTCGCTCTCTTGTTGAAGGGAAGGCGTACTGCTGCAATGACCTCTACACAGTGGAAGTCACTTAAAACTAAACCTGTAACCATTCTAGTATAGGCAAGCCCCGTGTTTATCTTTGCTTCAGCGTACCTTTGAGGGATGAGTAGGATAGTATTTCATCTGAGGGCGATGCTGTACTGCTGCATGGACTCAGGTCTGCAAATGCTGTTCACGAATACCTGCACAGGACCTTATGCCGACCAACAGAGAGGGCCGTGGGTGCGGCGTGGTGGCACAAGCTTTCCACGCTGGTGACCCAGGCCTTCAGGAAACTCGTCCTGTCTTACTCACTCCAGCATATCTACCAAGCCGGAGGGTTCGTTCTACTATTTGATCCTCCATGAGAGGATCCTTGAGGAAACGCATCTTTCTCTGAGGCAAAATGTGTATGTACATCTCTACACACACATGCACCCCCCCCCCCAGGGTCTTCTCCGGGTTCGGCAGCAAAATGGTATGATCAGCAATGCTAAAATAGAGATTGGCGTGTGTAGCTACAGTGCAAGGTTGGGGGGTGTTAAAATAAAGTAAGCTGATGACTGGGGGTTTTTTTAAAGTACAGTAAGCTGATGACAATGTGAAGGGTTTTTTTCTTTAGTTTTAGAAATAAAAAGGGGAAATTGCTTCTCTATAATTCTGTCACTACAACATCTTCCGAGAAAAAAAGAAACCTCAAGATAAACGTTATTTGCTACCCCCAAAATGAAGGAAAAGCATAAAGAAATGATTGTTGCTCTGCTCCTGGGTTTGGGTAGATCGGGGACTAAACACAGATTAAGTCCAACCTTCAAGCTCTGATTACTACTGAGAAGTAAAGAGTACGTGGTGATAATTGGATGGATGTTAATAAGCGTCTTAGTATATCGCTAAACAATAGAAATCTCACAATGCAGCTGGAACAACAGAGCCATTCTCTTTGAACCGCTAGGATGTAGTAAAGGACTGTTGGCACATTGGTCCCGTTGATTTCAGTTGGACTCTGTGAAGGTAAAGGCTGGTGTGCTAGGTCCAAGGTATGAAATGAAGCATATTTGTGTATTGTGTCTGTGGGTTTATTGATGTGTGCAAATACATATACATAAATATTCATTTATGGTTGTGAGCCCTCAAATAATACTGAAAAATAGGCAATTTCACGACTTCGTTTTGGTTGATAAATCTGATGATTGCTTTGCTGTTTTACAGCAAGTTGTAGACTTAGTAAAAGAAGGTAACAAGCAAAGTTAACATATACCCTACCAGAAAGATTCAGGCAACCTGTGCCTTTGCAAGCAATCAGGAAACTTCCACAGAAGCTCACCCTCATGGAAGGCAAGCTGGTTAGCTTCTGCTAGCACTGGGTGAAGGAAAGAGATAAAAAGTAATTATATTCTATTTAGTGACCACAGTTGCAAATGCTCACACGGCTCTTGCTTGCAGATAAATCTTTCTAGCTGGGCTACTCATTACTCTTACAACAGTAAATACAAACATTGATGAGTACAAATGTAGACTGTTACGGAAATTGTGTGGTATCTGAAAATCTTGCAGCTGCTTTTACTCCCAATTAAGTCCAAGTTCATCTGGAGGGACTGGGATCTCTAGGACTGAGAGTCCATAAGACTTAAAGCACCCAAAACAGTCTTTTCTCTATCTGGAAAGTTACAGAGCAATCAGCTTGAACGATAACACGGTCTCACCCTAATCTTGAAGCTGATTCTGTCAACACTTAGTGCTGAAATTAGACACCATTTCAGCTGATATTTTTTTAACCTGATAGTATCCCTGTGCTGCAAGAATCCTTTGTATATTGCATATCGGTTTAAGTATTTTTGCCTCAGGGTAATTTCAGTATCAGGCCCCTTCGAGTTCTAATAGGGAAGCAAGTGAATAAACGTACAAATGTGCCACAGTAAGTATGTGAAGACACTGCCTCTATTCTTATCACAGAGGGCTCGATCTAAATTTGTTAACATATAGAAATGGAAAACACTGCAATTAGTGTTACCCTAGAACTTGTATAAAAATGTTGATTTTCC